TATAGCACTGTATTGTTCACATTCTGCAACATTTTACTTTGATGGGCTGATTGGAAGGTCTTTTCCAGTTTGTGTTTGGTGAGTTTAATAAACCGGGACTTTGAAACAGCTGCCAAATATATGAGGTGCTATGTTTTCTTTAAAAGAAAACAGAGTTGTGAAGTCAAAGGCAAATTCTGTGGTATCTTATATAAAATACCTTTTCACTTCCTGAACATTGCCTGTAGCTTTGCTAATTTATTGCCATGAAAATATTGTTACTACTTAATGCACTAGTACTTCTGTCAATAGGCAGCTTTCCCCAAGGCATATTTGAGAACGCTCTGCTAATCAGAGTTGATGCAGTTATCCTAAAGCAGCCAGGTCTTTAGAAAAAGGTTCATGTTTAATTCCAGTACAGGTGAGTGTTGTCATTTCTTCAAAGCACAATATTTTTAATTTGCTGAATTCACTTCTGTAGATATCTAAAGTACTGATTACATTATCCCAGCCCCAGCTTGAACCAGTGTATTTCAAAGTAGAATTGCTGGCTTTTTTATCTCTTAAAACTAACTTTTGTGAAATATTCCTCATTTTGTAGTGGCAAGGATTAAACAAAGACTTAATCAGAACCACAAATCTGTGCTATATTATCAGCACATAACTTAAAAAGAACGTGTTTGGGTGTTTAAGCAGATACTCATTTGGATCTGACATTTTACTTTTCTACATCTGCTTGAACTCTTGAGATTATGATCTCATGCATCTGAATTTTTAGTGTTTGTTTTCCAAGCATGCTGATAATCATGAAGAGCACAGTGAGTGACAATGAGGTCACGTACATGTACATGTGTCATACTACAGTTTTATTCTCTCTAATAAATATGGAAATCTCCATGACTATAACTTTACTGAGGCTAAGCAAATAATCTTAATTGGTGTGGGAGATTTAATGCATGTATGTTTTTAATGTACTTGCAATTCTATGCAGATGAAAAATTGAATAAAGTTCTTCAAGAAAGCGGTCAGGCCATTTATTTCAATTAGAAATAATAATGAAATTACAGTAAACTATTAAATGTCACTTAATCTAAATTCAAGATAAATAGAGTACTAAATTTCTCTTGGCATGTTCCACAACAAGGTACCCTACTTGCCTTTTTATTGACAGAATTGAATGCTCCTCTGCTCTCTCTTTCACAGTGACATTTAGTGACTTCTTCGCAAACCCAGCATAGACATTATCCATTTTGGAATAAGCCTACCAAAGAAAAAAGTGTTTTTGTGTGAAGCTGATGGTTATACATCTCAGATCCCCTTGGTTCAGATCAGTGCTGTGTTTTCCTACATTCACCTTCACTGTAATGCGGGGGGTATTCTAATTTTGGTTTCCTTCTGCCATCAATTCATTTCCCAAAACTTCTAGGGGTAAAAGACTGTCAAAAGTCTTTCTACATTGTGCACAATTCACGTTCAAATTAATGACAGAATAATCAAAGGTAATTTTTTTGAGCAGCTAGATGTTTCAAGATGACAAAAAGTTTCACTTGGTCATGGGCTCTTTTTTGAAGGGCATTAAATCCCATCACTGCGAGAAGAAGTTTCTTAGACATGAGAGACTCCTAAGGCTACCAACCAGCAATAGCAAGCTTGGTGAAAAAACTAAAACATAAAGCTTTGAGTACTATGGAGCATTACCAACATGGAACAAAATCTGACTCCTTTGCAGCTTTCCTCAGTTACTATTATGTTCCTTGGTTTACCTGAAATACACATAGGATACAATATAAGGAGGTGAGGCCTCATACAAATTCTCCATGGAAACAATCAAGATGGCTTATGATAATTCTCTGTGTCTGAAGTCACCCACACACATGGCTTCAATTCCAATTTTAAGGGATTTATGTTAAGCTCTGCAAAGTAGCTGTTAGCCATTTCTGCTGACTGAAATCAAACTAAGTTAAACTAAATTTTACCATAGCAATAGATTTCTATTCTGCCAACCACCTTTCATCTGAAACTACAGCAAAAAGGAAAGACAGCAAAAGGATGCTTTTAACATCTCCACAGCCACATACAATATTAATTTTTGATCTTTTGACATGTTTACAGCCCAGCCAGCTAGCAGAAGACTCTGAAGAAGCCAGAGGACCAACACTTCGAGTTCTCAGGGATGTTTTAAAATAAAACACCAAATCTTGCTTGAGAACTTCTTAACTGAGCCCAAGAAGTACTCCTCAGGAAACAAATGCATATACATATGCACATGTACATACATATACACACCAGCAGGGTCCTCTTTTCAGAGACACTAAGTTCTATGCATAGATATTAAGAAGAAAAAATGGCGTTCTCCATGTAAGCCATGGAAGTGGAAGACTAGTATGCAGCTCAGGACAACCAGAAATGCAAATAGTTGTCAAATAGTGGTCTAGTGCCTCACTCCAGAATGTCCACATGACAATGATGAATAGTAAATGTATACAAAAAAAACCATGACATAAACTTCAAGCTGATTCTTCAATCCTGTGTGCTGCAGAAAATACATTCAATTTCTCTTGACATGAAGAAGCCTGTATATTCTACATATGCTGCATGTTCTATATAAAACTCTAATGCTTAAATTATACACACAATTTTCTAAAGTTTGGCTTTGTCTGCCTTTTTAGTTTTTGTTGGGTTTTTTTTAAGACACTGCTATAATATGGCTCTTTCCCAAATGCAAAAATACAGTATTTCATCTTTCTTGCTCTAAACAACATCCAATGAATAATGTACAGTGACGTGATCTTCTGCTATTTACTTTAAGCCATTTTGGAGATAGATTGCTACAGTGGGTGGCATTCAGAATAATGCATGTTGAGCAACACACATTCAAATCTTGCCAGCTTTATGCTTTCTTACAACATGCTACAATGTGAAGTGATTCACACAGAGAAAAGTTTTTTCTGTTACTGTAAAAAATGATGTTATATGCATTTATTATCCAAAATAAATACATTGATACCACAGCCTGAAAAGAAAAACTAGGAGAGTAAACTTTGTTTCTCTTTGTATTTTAAAATATTACATTTAGATTTTAAAAAATTAAAGCTGAGTGATGCTTTCTGTGTAAGTCAAGCTTGTCCTGACAGTTAATCCACATTGCTATCAGACTCATCAAATTAAAATAAAGTGAGCTGAAGAAGAAATTAATGCCAAGGATTTGAACTGCCTTGATGTCATATGCTGGCATCTTATAAATTTTACAATTCCTGTGGAAGAGTGTCAAGGAATCATTTAAATTGGAAAAGACCTGTAAGACCACTGGGTCCATCCTTACCCTGCACTGCCAAGTCTGCTACCAAACCTCGTCCCAAAGAGCCACTTCTACACAACTTTAAAATACTACAGGGAGAAGGCAGATGGTCCACTTGGAAAGACTGAACTGTTAACTAAGAACACACACAAAGTCAAATGGAAGAAGTGAAACACAGCTGTGGAGGTGGTAATGTGGTGCAGCTACACTAAGCCATAACTTCCATGGAATTTCTTTTATATCAAATGTGTAATGGTAATTTCAATCTAATGATGTGTTACTCCAAACCCTAGGGGGAAAAGAATCTCTGCAAAATGACACAGTAACTTTTGGAAGATGTACTTATGTTCATGAGTGTTAAATCTGACATAATGTCTTTTACCATATCCTCAGCCAGAAGCTCAGAAAAAGGGAACAAATAAACATCCCAGACCAGACAACTGTGCTGTACTTGAGAAGTGACTACGGGCCTCTGTCACCAAGATGTTAAAAAATTGGAATACTGAAATTTGTAGTTTTATTATCTGCACCCTCACAATGTTATCCAAATTGAATTTTACCCATTATCCTCACAGCCATGTCCATGACAGCAGATAACACATTCTCAATTTTAATTCCTCAGATTTCTGTAACCCCAGACTTGCAGCCCTCCCCATCAACTTGCCTCCGTACATTCATAAGCATTTCAGAGAGACAAAGTACCCACAAGGTGAAGGTCAACATCAAGTGCTCAGTCTTTCTGAAAAATGACACTTCAAATCATTGAAGAAAATATAGGCAACTTGGGTTATCAAACTACTCTGAAGCACTTCATCCTGAACTCTTAAACCCCCATACATTATAATACCTTCGTTTCTTTCACAAATAATTTTCTTCTCTACGGTATTATTAATTTTATTCTGTTGTTTTACTTATTCTGCTTATTACATTTTCAGCAGGAAATCTACCAAAAATTTCAGACAAAACAATTTCAAACTTCCAAAACTGATAAATCATGCATCACACCTTTTCAAAAGATAAGAATTAGATAAACATTGAGGCTTCATCAGCCTGGAATGGACTCTACTGAGATGTACCCTTTTCTGGCCTTTCAGCAGAGTGCATCCTGGAGAATGGCTGACCTGTGCTGGAGCCTGCTGAATATTTTGACATTCACCAGTCACTACCATATTCCAGCAAATAAATCCAAGCAACAGTTGGATTCAGCTGCTGGAGTTCTTCCTCCAGCCAGATGATAATTTATTTCACTAGCCATTTCACCAATAGAAACTGACTAAAACAGGACCACAAGCAAAAGATGAGAGAAGCCATCCCTCTTGAACACAATGGAAAAGTTTCACAGAAAAGACAAAGAAACGCCCAAACCATTAAGACCATCCTTTCAATTTCCACTTTCTCACCTCAAACTAAACCAGACTAATAGAAACAGTTAATGAAAAGAAAGGGAGGCAAAACCTAAACACAGCACCATGCCATACCACCAGTGCCAGAACGTGATGGTGGATCTGACCTTTGTTGGCCCTACTACTCTTCGCACCTTGCTGGTGCTCAATCCTTACCAAATCCCCTCCAAAACACCACTGGCACAACTGGAGAAACTTAGCACCGGCACATGGCAGAGGCGGGACGGGCCCTGCTGGACCCCCATCTCCAGCCCATCCGCCCCGCTACTCCCGACAGCCACGGCTCCCGCTGGGGGGGCGGCCAGCGGGGACCCCCTTACCTTGTTGGAGTAGGGCGGCTTACTCAGGTTGATGCCGTCGCGGACGAGCTTGTCCCGGATCATGATCTTCAGCTTCAGCCTGGGGTACGCGACCAGCCCGCCGCCGCCCGCCGCCCCCCGCCGCCCGCCGGGCCGGGCCCTGGGGGCCGCCCCCCGCCGCGGCTCCTCGGGCCCCCCCGCCCGGCGGGGACAGCGCCCGGTGGGGGCGGGCGGCGGCGGCTCCAGGGTGAAGTAGAGCCCCGCCGCCCTCTCGTCCGCCTCCTTCAGCCGCCGCACGGCTTCGTGGATCCGGCGGCGGTGGTGAGGCACGGCCACGCCGATGGCATCCAGGTCCGGGTCGCCGATCTGCTTGCAGACCTCCAGGTCGTCGTAGCCATTATCGACGAAGGACTCCGCATACTGGGGGAGCTGCAGGGTCTTCAGCCACTCGTAGACTATGTTGGTGCACATGCTGGCTCCAAAATAATAACGACTGCAACTTTCAGCACTGAAGCCAGCCTTCCCCTTTCCACTTTTCGCCAAAGGACATAAAGCCACAAAAACTGCGATGCAAGTAAGAGGTCTCAAAATCAAGGTCAAGAAAACATCCACCAGGAAAAGGAAAAAAAAAAATCCTTAAAGCAGATCAGTAGGGCACCGCAAGCACTGCTGACCGAACCCCTCCTGCTTATTCCTCCTCTTGTACCGAGTACAGCCGCTTTCTGCCACCGGAGAAGGGAGGCTCGGACTGGAGAGAAGCAAAATATAAGGGTGCATCCCCTAAAATCCCAGGTCGCTGCTGCACAACATCCACCCACTTTCTCTGGAAGTAATTCGCAGTCGCTTTTTTTTTTTCTTTCTTCCTTTCAGTGTTAGTTTCTGTTTCTGCTTCTGTCTCACCTTCCTGCGCTCTGTCGTATGATGAATCTGTTTACTATAAGTAGCTGCTTTGGTACACGATGGTGTCGGGGGAGAGGATCCCGCACCCTCGCCCAGCGTGGGCAGGGGTGCCGGTGTGCAGTGCCCTCCCTTCCCGCGCCTCTCCCAGCAGCGGGCGCACACGGCGGCTTTTGCTTTCCTTTTAAACGGCTCCTTTCGGATTAGGAGCAAAACAGAGGGAAGGAAAAAAAAAAATCCCACTCACTTTTCCGAGTTACTTTCCCAGTCTCCCTTCATTCCCGTAATGCTGGTTAAATGCGCTTCGCTGGCAGCGAGACCAGAAACTGCTTTCCAGCTCCACTTTCTCCGCGCTGATGCCGGCAGTGCCCTCCTGCCTCAACGGGACACGCAGCCCTACGCCCGACCCGCACAACTTTCTTTCCCCGCTATCTCTGCTGGCGCTCCCGCCGCTGTCCGCAGCCGCCCTGGGCAGGAGGCGGCGGCAGCGGGGCCGTGCGGGCGGCCGGCGCTCCGTGCATCCTCCGGCGGCGGATGAGCCGATCTGCGGCAGGTCACCGGCGCTGCCCCCGCCTTCCCCGGATGCCGCCGCAGCTCTCCCTTCCCTGCCACCGGTACCCGGAGCGGTGCTCCCCGCCCGGATCCTCCCTCTCCTCTACCCCGGAGGCGCCTGATGCGCCGCCCGCAGATCTCCTCCGGCTCCTCCCGGTGCGGCTTCTCCCCGCTCCTCCTCCGCGCCTGCCGCCCCGCTGCCAGCCCCCTGCCCCGGCTCTCCCCCAGGCCTTTCCAACTTTCCCTGCCGGCTGCCCGCGGTCTCTGCCGCTCGCCTGCCCTGCCCGACCCGCCGGGAGCAGCCAGCCCCCGAGAGGCAAGGCAGCCTGGCAGGGCAGCGGCTCGGGGCTGCCGCGGCTCCGCGGGCTCTCGGCCGGGTTTGCCCGCCCCGTAGTCCCCGGGACACGGGAAGGCCAAGGGGGGCACGGCCCGGGGAGCTGCCCCCCAGCGCCCTTGGGACAGCCGGACCGACGGCGGCGCCGGCTGCCCCGTGGGGCAGCCAGCCCTTTGCGGTGGAAGGGGGACCCTTCGTGGGTCGGAGGGGCGCAGAGCGACGTTGTCCCGGCGAGCGGCGCTGCCCGGGGAGCGGCGCGGGCAGGCGGGAGGCGCCGGGCCCGCTCCCCCCGCGCCGCCGGGGCCGCCCGGGGCCTCTGAGGCGCCGCGCGCTGCCCGCGAACGCCGGGCTCGCAGCGCCCCCGCCGGGCCGCCGAGGGAAGCGCCGAGGGCCCGGCCCGGCCCCGCCGCCGCCCGCGGCCCCCCTCGCCAGTCCTCAGGGGCTGAGGGCAGACCTCCTGCCATTTTCATTTTAAACTGCTTGAAACTTGTTTTTCTGCGAAGATCCCTCCTCATGCCGGCTGAGGGGAGCTGGGGACAGGCGGTGGGGCACCCAGCAGCACAGGGGTGCCGGAGGAGGGGCATCCCTCCTCCAATTTTGTAGTTTGGCAGAGAGCATTATTCAGAACGGGTTTCCTGGAGGACTTTTGTGAGCAGAGTTAGGCGCACATTTGTCCCCGCGCTTAATGTAGCTCGTCACATGATTGCGCAGCACAGCGGCGTTCTCACAGCAAGCATTGCGCTGCGAGGTGTTTCGGAAAGGTTAGCTACTCACCAACGCTTAAATGCAGCCTCTGGGTATAAAGCCTAGGGATCACAGGGTCGTCTGCTAAAGAGGGAGAAAAGGAGGAAGAGCATTTTGCTCCTTTTAAAAACTCCTTCCATCTTCTTTTTTTTTTTCTTTTGTTCTTTTTTTCCCCCTGAATCTTATTTTCCTTCCAGACCACATAATATGTCAAACTCTCTTCTAGCCCACAGACAGATTGATGCAGCAATTATCTTCTCTTCACAGACCTGATGAAAGACTGACAGCACGGGCAAAACTAGCAAGGAGGTTCTGTGATCTGGAGCTGGAAGTGATGGTATGGGAGGCAGGAAATCTGACTGATGCAGCCCCTATTAATCAGTCTTATTGACAATACATACTAAATTATATCATCTTTATGTGTGCATTTTGGAAGGGTCTTGAAAGGTTTTTAAGATATTGCAAATGTTATGATTCAGATGTGCTTGGTGAAAGGGTAAGACCCTTCTGATGGGGCTGCAGGAGAAGTGGTGGGTTCCCATGGGACTGTGGAGGCTGGCAAGGTTGCAACATTGTCAGCCTCTCTGGTGGTTTGGCACTGATTTTGGATTCACAAAAATTAAGTCACCTTTCAGCAAATACAGTAAAGTTTTATGGGACTTTGAAACACAAAAATAAACAACAATAGAAAAAAAGACAATCAGAAGTCCAGGAAACAAAAGACTGGTCTACCTCACCTCAACCCCACAGAGAAATCTAGGACAAGTCTTTGTGAGGACTTACATCAGATTTGGGTGGGTAGTTAGAGGGAATGTTCCTCAGTCACTTGGTGCTCCCAGTGCCAAGGTGGAATACATACTCAGAGAGTTCCCAGACAACACCAAATAGGGAGGGTAGTCAATATGTTGGCAAGGTGATTCAAGAGTAAAGAAGGAAGGTCAAAAAGTGGCAGAGCAGAAGATGGAGGCATGTTTTGATTGATAATAGCAAACTCATTTTGAAGAAGTCTTTTATGTTCTTTATATTAACTGCAGTGAAATTATTCAGGGACACTTAGGGTTGTTTATTTTTCTACATTCAAGATTTATTTGATTTTTCACACATTAAGGAAGAAGCATGGGCATTTCCTCTGGATACCTGACTACTGTTCAGTGTTTTGAGTCATGCACTCACATATTTGATGGTTGAAAAAAAACTAGACAAGAACACAAACGCTTTAAAGCTGTGTACTCACAAAGTGAATGAATGAATACAATTCCAACAAGATATTTGTGAAGGTGTTCAGGTAGAACAGGAAATTCTGTGCAGATTCACACAAAGAATGAGTACCCCATGACTAATGACTATATTGCAAGGAATAATGTGCAATGAACAAGTGGAAGCTAATATTTCTGTGGGTTTTTTTAAAAGAAGAGAGCCAGACTCTAAAATATTTTTTTAGGGTTTCCACTAGGGCACAAGGTGAATAAGTCACTAGAACTCCTCATACACAATGGCAAATGTTTGCAGAACCACGCTATTAGTTCAGGTAAATAGAGCTATTTATACTTGTGTGTAAAATGTTGCGATTATTTGACTGTACGTGGTATACATTGGAAAAGGGTCCAGAAGGAAATAACAATGACTGTTAGAGCTTTGAATGTACCCAATGTCTTACCCCAACTGTTAATCCTAAAAAACATATAGCAACATAACTCAGCATCTAAAGGAAGATTTGGCCATGTCAACTCTGCAGAGAAATAAACTTAGAACTTCAAAAACTGGTATACATCCTGTCAATTCCCATCACTGTACTAACTAATGGAAAGTACTATCTGTTAAGTGTTCTGGAGAATGACTTTTCCTCATTAAAAAATCAGATGGCCATTATTTAAAGTACTCTTTCATAGAAGATTAGGAAAATTTCGTATGGAGAGGACCCCTGGGAGTCACCCAGTCCCATACCCCGCTCAGAGCAGGCCTAATTACAAACTCTGATCAGATTGCCAATGGGTTTGCCCCATCGACTTTGAACATCCACTGGGAGAACATCCACTGTTCTCCAGTCTTTCTGGGTGGTCTCTTCCAGCACTGATCTACTCTCACCATGAAGAATTTCTTCCTCTTGTCTGGTCAAAGCAATTATGACCTTTGTTTCATGTCCTTTTGCTGAGCACTTCTGAGAATGGTTTGACTCTGTCTTCTCTATGGCTTTCCCCACAGGCAATGAAAGACTGCAGTGTTATCCCCTTTGCCTTTTCATCTGTATAATAAACAAACCAAGTTCTCCTAGCCTCTTCTCATATTTTGCCAGCCGACAAAAACTTGAAAACATGTTTGTGAGGTATGTAAGTAAAAGTTTTATCACAGAAAAGACAAACAACAAAAAAAAACTAATGAGAACATTGCAATCAGGAATTTATATGAAATTTAAACGTAAAAATAGAACTGTTTACAAAACAGATTCATCACTTGGAATTTTATATAAACAAAGCAATGTTTTAATTAAAAGGAAACTTTAAAATATACAAAAACATGACCCCACTCTAAATTTACTCACTATGTTTGTAATAACTTAATGCTCACTGAGACTATACAACAGGGAATGTGAAAAGATCAAGCTGATTAAATATCCATTTTTCTTTGTTGTGTATATAAAATTAATTTCGATTTGAGAGTGCATTTGAAATAGAACAGTTACTTTATTTACTGTGATTCTCCTTTCCTGTAAAAATTTACAGGCATTAATTTCAGTTCTCTTTTTAATGAGATAGATTTCATCAGAACAAGTTCTGTAACAAGAATTCAGTCTAAAAATTACCCTCTTTTTCCTTTGTAACAGAAAGAAAATTTATTACAGCCAAATTCTTCCACAGACTAGCAAATTCTCCATTCAACATTCTCCGTTCAACCAGTCAACTTCAAGCACTTTATTTTTGATATCACAGTCCATGAGAAGGTAAATTGGCTTGCACAAATTTTACCTTCTTGGCCTTTTGTAATAAAGATTCTATCCTGAAAGAAAATGAAATTATCCTAAACCAAACCAAAAATTTTGTGATTATTTTACCTGTTGCTGACAGACACCTATTTTCACAAAGCAATAGTTCCCTATAATAATTTAGGGTGGGTTTGTCTTTACAAACATAAAACACTGACCAACTCTCATTGTTACTATCTTTGAGCCAGCAGGTAGCGCTGATATGGTGTGTGTATGGTTGAATTTTACCCAAACCCAAAGCATTTTGCTTCACACTCAATGCTCTTTAAGTGAACTGCTTATTGCAGATAAATAAAAGAAAAAAACTTAAATTATTACTAATAGTAATTGCTAATTACTAATAGTAATAGTAACATTACTACTGCATAAGTTGTGGAAATCCCTACTAATACCA